TGTAGTTCTTTCAATTCTTTTTAAGTAAAGTTGCTTCTAACACAAGCACTTTAATTGTATTGATCAAATTATATTCAGGAAATAAGGAGAAATTAAAAAGAATATCCAGTTTGGGGCAAAAAGGAAGACGTCATAGAAAGAGGCTGTAAAACCCCCTGCAACGTGAAAAGCCTGGTTCGTGCTGATCTGTTGTTTTTCCCACGCCGAGAGACCACCATGATCCCTTCTTGGCACTGAAGGCAATAAGATAATACCCCTGTGTGTTTCTGGTGGCCGTATAAACCGAGCCGCATGTCCTCTCGAACATGAAAGTATTGAGGTTTGAGTAGGGTTGCGTAACTCTTTGTAAAAGTCTTGTTTGTAGACTTGCACCCCTGCAAGATGAGTTCACTTGGTCAAGACTTCGAAAGTTCGACAGGAACGAAGTTAGGATCACTGCCCTACCACACCGTTTGAAGATGCCGCTGGAAAAGAGTGAAATGTGAGAATTTACTAGAGCGGTAGAGCCGGCGCTATGGGGGAGCGGACCTGGTGACTTCTAGATACGATACTGCTATTGAATAGTTCAGCGACTAATGGATTTTCCTCAAGTATGCAGACACTTGGCGTTAATAGGATTTGGTGAGTGGTCTCTATTAAAGCAGTAATTGGAGACGACTTGCTTACCCATGTTGCGCAGATAACGACGCACGAGCCGCAGGCTCAGACCTCCCGGGCACCACAGCTACCCACACAGCGAAAGGCCTGATCTCTGCAAAACCCCAGCTCGGAAAGCAGTGGATGCATGTGTGATCAGATACCACAGACACCCCAGGAACCCCAGAATGTTCCACTTCTCAGATCACTGACTCTTGACACAACCCACAGAGGCGTTGGATTCGACTTGGGTCCCAGCCCCTTCGGTGTCACTGACACTGAAAGCGTCAGCTGTCTCTCTGCTGGACAGGAACTTTGCTGTCAGCACACGCTGGGTCTGACTCACCTTTTCTCCAATAGACTGCTCTCGGGATCCCGCGGAAGTCCTTCTACCCCTTGCTTTAGGCTTCTGAGTGAGGGGAAAAAAAAATGAAAAAAATAATTTCTCTCTCCAACTGTTCGTCATATAGAGGCAGAAACACAGAAAATACCCCTCCTTCTAAAAGTTTGCAAGTACTACTCAAAGGCAAAGCATATTACATTCTCAGTTTGACACAGTTTCAGGAACATGTATCACTCATTATGTCAATTAATAACCTATATTGAAATCACAGGTAGGTTAAACATTGACATAAATGTGCTGACTGGCTACATATTTTTCCTACATTACAAATTCCATGGTGTATATCGGCATCCCAGGATAGTGTCGAGCTTGCCAGACCTGACGGGGAGGCAGACACCACCTCTTGCCACTTGCGTGGACAGCACTTTGTCATCCTCGGATTTTATTCAATTTTAAGAGACATGCACAGACTTACCGGAAAACACATATTTTTGCAACAACTGACAGCACTGACTTGGGCTCCCTTTGTGGCGTTGGACCCTTGCCATACTGGAGGAACGTTTTAGACAAGACTTAATGTATCCAAACTGGTGAGGGGCTCCTAACTCTATGTACATCAGGGCTCAGTGTGACCCAAATGTAACTCTCAGGTGGATCACGCTCCGGTGATATTCTAATTGGCAACAAGATAATCCTCGTAGACTATCTGGACATTTTCTATAAGTTTGGGATTTTTTTGGAAAAGCCGTGGCAAATAATGAAACTTGAAGAGGAGAAATATTTTCTGTGCAAAACAAGAGAAGTAAAAAGTCAGATGTGCATGTACCTCTGAGATCATCAGAAGCCTGTGAACAGAAGAACTCAGCGTGTGTGATCGTGTGTGCGCATGCGTGCTGAGAGTTCCAAGGAGTCCAGGCACAACATAGTCACACTGGCCAACCCCTCCAGGGACGGAAGGGCGGCCACAGAGGCTGCCTTGGTCCGAGGGAGAAAAGCCAGGGCTGCGGACTCCAGGTCACCCAGTCTCACAGAGCTGGCTGCGGTTCTACTTTGTTGTTGAAGCGAAATCTCAAGTCCTTTGTGGATTATTTTCCACCAATTTATGCCAGCGAGTTAAGTAGGAACATCCACATGTATCTTCACAGTCAAGCCAGGTTTGGCATAAGATAGGAAATCGCATTCTAGTTTTCTTTTTCTACTGCTTTACCCGCTGTCCAATCTAGAGCTGTCGCAGCGCTTTCACACCTCGAAGCTGAGAGGAGGCCTCCGAGACGCTACCATCCAGTCCAGCTCCGATTGAGGGTTGGTCTGCCAGAGTCGGCGGCCCTGCCTCCAGGTGGAAAGTCGTGGCACTGACGGACGGTGTGGCGACCCTCCCTTAGTGAGAGACGGATCATTCTTCTCTTCTCAGTCACGGGTTCCAAGTGAGTGGCGTTGCCAAATCACTTGTGACGCCAGACTGACACCCTCAGGGGGCTGACGCGGTGCCCAGCGCGGCTCAGACCGCACCCCGCCCGTTCTCGGATCATAAGGAGCATCGTTTCACGGCCTCTTTTGGCCCTCGATTTCTGTGTGCTGTTTTGTGTGCATTCATTGATTTCGCCGTCTAATGACCTCCGGGCGCGTGCTGACACTCCGGCAGTTGTCCGGTAAGAAAGGCTTTTGAGGATGAGCACCACTTTCAGCAGCACAGAATATCACGCTTCTGTGTCTTCTGTGGCTTCTGTTGCGTGGGACGGTGGTGGATGATCCTGAAAAGCTTCTGTCAAAGGAGGATTCAGAAGCCAGATCCGCACTGTGGCGCCCATCCTCAAGGTTCTAGGTGTGACGGGCGTCGTCAGTGGGCTGCTTGGCGCATCTTCCTCAATGTTTTATTCATTAACTAGCAAAGCATGCTTTTCCCCATTTAGCCGCTTACGGCTTGACTTTCTCTCCACGGGGTGTTGTAAGAGAAAGAGCTCTATGCGCTCATTGGCCTTAGGCAGTCCTTAGTACACATTAGGGTGTAAAGGTGGTTTTTTGAATGACTAGTGTTGTTTGTACTAAGACAAATAATAGCAGTTCTTTATGTCTCCCCCTTTTGTAAAGGAAATCCTATGAACTGTATATGTGTTAACTCATGTAATCCACCCAACTACCCTACGTGGTCATAGCCATTACTGTTCCCATTTGATGAAGAAACTGAGGCACGGAGAGCTTAAGGGATATCCCCAAATCCCCAGAAGTTTCCAGAGCTGGGTTTCCATTTCCAGGCCCTGGGCTCCAAAACGCCAGTAAAGCCCTGGGCTGTGTCGACGGTGGCCGACAGGAAACGGGACCCTTCCATGAACACACACATGCTTCCTGGTGCCCTGCCATCGCCAGTCTAACGTTATTCTAGTTAAAACGCCGCTGACGTGGATCCTGTTAGGAAATTGAGGTTTCACCGAACTCTACTCCATTTTCGGCAACATGAGTTATGCTGGGGTCCCCCTTTGTGCCGGATGTGTGTGGCGGACATGGCTGAGATCGGCTTTGGCTTCTCGCGGCACCCCCAGGGTGAGCGCCCGCGCTCCAGTCTCTTCCTAAGTTGTGGCTTGCTCAACCTGCAGAGCAAACGTCACAACCACCAGAAACACTCATGATGCGCTTCTTTACAGAAAATCATTCTGCACCTCCTGACGTAACCACGTACACCTCAGAACACTCGATACAGATGGAGCGACCACAGGGTTCCACGGGGTCCCGGACAGCGCCCAAGTATGGCGACGCGGAGCTCATGGAGACCAGGGATGGTACGTCCCAAAGCAGAGATGCGTATTTTTGTGGGAAACGGTTTGTGCTGATGTCCCGTTCTGTGCCCGTGACTGGGTGTGTTTCTTCCTGGGGTACAATCTGCTGCCATTTTATCTGCTGAATAACTAACAGTGGTTCAGCAACTGAGAAATTCTTGTACAGGTGTTAAGACTATGAACAGTCACTTAGAAGACCAAGATGAAGTTAAATGTACAACAGAATTACTGTCAGATGGGCCGATAATGTTGCTTTAGACTTAGGAGGAAAAAGGGTCTTTTTATCCATGTTGGACAGAGATGTCAGCGACTTGGTAAAAGGCTGTGGCAGGGGGCTTCTCCTTCCTTCCTTGTGGCCTGATCTTGGTATGTTCTGATTACAGCGGCTGTTTGTATCACCTAGCCCCTATTCTATTTAAGTCTCAGTCCTTCCTGGGGTCATAAGAGTCAGTGTAGAGCCTAGCAGTGAATGAAATACAATGCCCCTGTGTGAAGCCTCATGGAGCAGTTTTGGCATAGCAGCATCTTGCAGTGCATGGGACTCACAGGTGGACAGGGAGGCCTATCCCAGCCCCAACAAGTAGACAGGGAGGACTATCGGAGCCCCGACACTCACAGTGGACAGGGAGGTCTATGCCCTGGGCTTAGATAATGGCGCGTCAGGGTAGCCTTCCACCCTTTAGCACAGAGCTTGGTGTTCCAAAGGCCACAAGGAGTTTCAGACCCTGGACCCCGGACATGTTCCAAGACTCTTACGTTATGTCAGATGTGGAAGCCCTGCCTGAGCTTCTCCCAACACTCGGCTTCTCGGAACACTCAGCTTCTCCCAACAAACACTCGGCTTCTCGGAACACTCAGCTTCTCCCAACACTCAACTTCTCTGCCAACATAGAAGAAGCATCTTGATTCTGCTTTTCTCTAAAAAATCCATGTATTGCTATACATACATGCTTTATACTTAACTGCATATCTTAGAGTATAAACTTTGACATATAAAAATCTCCATAGTGGTTATCTGTGGGGCACAGGATTGGCACAGAAACAGGCACTTTCCCTTTGAACTGTGATGTTTGCCTTGTTCATACTAAGAATGTGCTCGCGTTGGTTGTACTGTTTGCTTCTAAGTTTCTATAAAAAGAGAGCAGTAGACTGATGCACTCAGTGTCCTGGGAATAGAGGCTGTGCTCTGGGTCTGAGTGCTGCCAAACCCCAGCACTCACTTGGGCGGTGAAGTCAACATTTCCGTGCCCGAGTCTTCTCATCTCAAATTGGGGAATAATAACCAGAGGATTGTGGTGAGTTTTGAGTCTCTATACATGACTCAGAACCATTTGGCACATGGAAGGTACCACTAGGGCATTGGTTTGCCATCTGTAGGGGGAGGCATCAGCACCACCAGGTCAGAAGTCAAGGGGTGACCCTGGACACCACGTCTGTGGCGAGGTGGGGCTGTGAGGCTGCCTGTGTGTCAGGAGCACCGCGCTTCTGTGCCCAGCTGTGTGTGCCGGGAGCACCACGCTTCTGCGCCGGCCCGTGTGTGTGTTGGGAGCACCACGCTTCTGTGCCGGCTTGTGTGTGTGTTGGGAGCACCACGCTTCTGTGCCTGGCTGTGTGTCAGAAGCACTGCACTTCTGTGCCTGCCTGTGTGTATGGGGGGGGGGGAGGAACACCACGCTTCTGTGCCTGTGTTCTGTGCCTGCCTGTGTTCTGTGTCTGTGTTCTGTGCCTGCCTGAACACCACGCTTCTGTGTGTGCCCTTGCACTCCAGCCTGGGTGACAGAGTGAAACCGTGTCCCAGATAAAAAGGGGGGAATTTTGTAATGGAGATAACAAAACATACGTGATTGGGCCCTAAGATAACTTTTGCTCCCAGCCTCTTGCCCGGCAGGTCAGTGTTCTGAATCTCGGCTAGCCCAGCGTTTTGTTTTCATGTGGCTTTTTAAAACAAAACTAAGTATACCTTAAATTTTTATCACTAAGATAGTGTATTCGGCCTCTTGTAACAAAGTACCACACAGTGGGTGATTTAAACAACAGACACTTGTCTCAGTTCTGGAGGGTGGAGTCGGAGACCCCGAGGTGTCATAGGGCTGGGCCTCTGGAGGTGCTGAGGGAACCTGCCCCAGGCCTCACCCCGGCCTCGGGTGCTCAGCGATCCTGGAGGGGGTACCTGTCACTCCAGTCCCTGCCTCCATCATCATGTGAGCTTCTCCCTGTGTCTAGGCCTCTCTCTCCTCTTACAAGAACCGAGTAATGGGATTTAGGGTCCATTCTAACCCAGTATGACCTCATCTTAACCTGGTCATAAGATGGCCCTGGCTTAAGGTGGTTCAACTTGCGATTTTCACCTTTACAATGGGTTTATCAGGTTGTCATCCCATTGTAAGTCCAGGGGTATCTGTCTCTGCACAGGCCCTGCTTCCAAATAAGGTCACAGATACGAGGGGTGATCTTTTGCAGGGACACGATTCAACCCACAGCAGATACTGAAGCTCACAGTTCCTGACTCCCACATGATCTTTGTAGAGGACTGTTAGGGTGAGGGAATGGTGGCAGGACCACTGACAACACTGTGTTTTCATTCTGAAGTTTTGGCTTTTTTGAGGTCTCTGGGAAGTAAAGGCCAGGAGAATAATGTAAAGCCCAGTGATTTGAGCTCACGCTATCTAGGTGGTTCCGTGTGCGTTTTCTTATTTGGGCAGACTTTTCTTTTCTATCTGATTAGCTCTATCCTTTTTGATTCTTACATCTAGAATGCTTCTGTTTCAGGAGTCTTTCATGCTTTTTTCAGTACACCAGTTAATTCATTCCAATGAGATCTCCTCTTGCAAATTTTAACTTTTATGTTGCCTCATTTTTGTCTTCAGCTTCATTATAAACCATAATATTTTAAAGTTAAACAGCAAGCTTAGGTCCAGCTTTGAAGTGTAAAGTGCATTAAAGATTTACATATGGAAAATTACAGAAACAAGTGTGATGTGTACCTAAATTGTGGTGACTCCCTTAGATAACCATTGAGGAATTGTTAGTTTTCAGGAATATAATCCATGATCTTAGATTTTAACTTATTTGTTCACAAATTCAGTCAGCAGATATTTATTGCTAGACATTTTCCAGGGCTGGGATGCAGCAGTGAGCAAAACAAACTGGAGAGTTGGGTCTGAGGGAGGAGGTCGCACAGGTAGTCAGAGATGTGTGCTATGGGGTGGGCACGCTGGGTGGGGAGTGTTTTCTGAGGAGATGAGAAGTCTCAAATTTGAGCCAAACTCTGGAGACGCGGAGGGAGAGGGCCGTGCGGAGGTCTGCCGGAGGAACGTCCTGAGTAGCAGCGAGAACCAGCACAGAAGCCTCAAAGCGGGAGCAAGCTGGGGTGTCCGGCAGAGGAGGTGGGGCAGACCCCAGAGTGGTGCACATGTGCGCAGTGGTCTTCTGAAACCTGCCTTGTGTGGACCCCCTTCTCCTGACCCACAGTTCATTCTACAGCTTGCCTGCCACCCAAATAATTTTCCTTAAAACTTGGCAGCCAGAATGGCACAGCATAAGTCTTATTTTAGATTCTTATATATAAAACTGGGCGTACGCCCAGACAGCCTGCGTGTGAATTGAGGCTGAACAGTCAGGATTTCCATCATTTCTGTTCAGTGGTTTTGTCTGCATTCTTGGAGTGGATTCACCCCCTTCCAGACGTTTGCGAAACTGGAAGAGCAGACCATGCAGTGAGGGAGGAGCTGGGAGGACAGAGAGCCGGTCTGTGCAGGACCTGCATAGAGAGGTCAGGAGAGGAGCTGCCTTCGTAGTTTTCAGACATTCTTGAGATTCCCTGAGAACATAGAGGCGGAAGCAGTAGACTCGCCAGCAGCCGTTCATAAACAGAAGGAGCACCCCCTAATGCGGCCACGTGGGTGGCCGAAACTGTTCCCGGGGTGCCCAGCCTACCGCGTGTGTGCTGACTGCACAGCTGTGGTTGTGATGGCTTATCTGCCCCTGCATATTCAAGTTAAAAACTGTCGTTACAGGCCCACGGATGACAGTAACCAGCCCCCGGGCCGGGGCGTCCTCTCCATGCATGGGCTGACCTATGGAGTCATTCGTTTGGACTCGGAAGAGAAGCTCTCCGTGCTCACCATGCAGGATGTCGGCCTCGTGATGCCTGGAGGTGAGTGTGCGTTGCGAGCCGCACAGACTAACCGGTTATTAAATGCTTTTCTAACACACATCACCAAAGCCCACATTCCCGTGTTCCCACGTTCCTACGTTCCTACGTTCCTGTGGTGCGTCCTCTGGCTGCGAGCCTCACTCCCAGTCTTCTGAAGCCCTTGTCAGGCTTCAGACATTTGAGGCAGTGTTCCCTCTCCTGGGAAATGATCGAAAAGATGAGGAAGAGCAGCTTTGCACAGTGGGGCCTCAGGCTCCTCTTCCCTGGAAGGCTTCTGGGCCAGTGCAGTGTCCACACTGGTGCTTGAGCAGCTTCCCTTCTCTGCCCCAGAGGACGTGCCCGTCCGTCACCTTAAGGCACCAGTCCGAGTGGGAACAGCCAAGCTTGGCTGCCCCCATGGCAGATACGTGTGAAAACCAAGGAGTGTGAGTCTGTGTGACCATGAAGCCTGTTTTCAGCAGTAGAGCCCTTTTTCCAAGTCTCAGAAGCCTTTTCCACAGATGCGTGAGGAAGCACCCAGCTGCAGGGCCCACCGTGCCTCCCAGCAGCCCCACAAGGAGTGCCCAGGCACCTCCCAGGAGCCACTTTACCATTCTCAGGGTGCACACACCTGGCGCTCAACTCACGGGGTCACAGGCAGCATCAGCCCCTGGCTCTCTGGCCCCTGAAAGGGAACCTGGCTCTTTTCTCAGCTGGGGACCCCAGAGCCTGTGTCTCCTGCTGAGCCCTCCAGGCATGGGGTGTGGGCTCAAGCCCAGCAGGGTAGCCATGCCCGTGCGAGCAATGCTGCCACCATCAGCAGCAGGTGCAGGACGCCAGGTCAGGTGGGTCTCAGCAGGGACCCCCTCCCCGTGGAGTCTCACAGAGGCAGACCCCCCATGCCCCTTCATGGTGAGCTGCACTGGGGCCAGGCACTCCAGAAGCTCTTGCCTTTCTGTTCACCCGGTTTGGCATAAAAGAAATGAAGGCAGCCCTGGGCTTCCCTCTGCCTCACTAACCCGATTCTCTGTGGACGCCCTCCAGCATCCCCGCGGCTCTGCCTCTGCTTCCAGCCCTCCAGCCCCTGTGTCCAGCCCACTCCCTGCCCCCCAGCTGTGGCCAGGCCCCCTGACTCCCTTTCTTTAATATTTAGTTTTCAAATAAATGGAGCTTCATGGTAAAATCTTCAAAAAGTTCTAAAGGACACAATGCAAACGCTCCTTTGTGACTGTGAGAGCAACCGCGAGCTTCCCATGCTCCCTGTCAGAGGCACCTGGGGCTGTGGGACAGAAGCGCGCGCCCTCCACCCTGTGTGTATTCTCTGCCCTGGGTTTGGGGGTTTTCTCACATCATGATAGATGTGAGAAACTGAGAAACATGACAGATGTGATAGACTGCCTACACACGCATCTTTTACATCTTGGGGTCCTTTGTCAGCACGTAACGAGCTCCGTGCTGTTCTCGAGGTGGCACAGTGCTACGTTGTGGGAGTACTAAGGTTATTTGAGCCTGCCCTGTTTGGTGATTTTCCCTCTTTGGCTGCTGCAGTGAGTGACCCCTTCGTGGCCAATGGAAATAGTTCTCGAAGTGGGAGTTCTGTTTCAAAGAGAACTACCGATGTAGCTTTTATGATGATTGTCTTTTTGAAGCCTGTGAGGCTATATACTCCGCTGAGCGGTAAACAGCAGCACTTCTTTCTCCACTCCCTTATCTGCCTTATTACCTGACTTTTATTTTTACCAATATGATGGGTGAAGAATCTTTTAGTGTAATTTTAATGTGAATTTTTCTTCCTGTGGGTTTAGCTTATGTTTCTGCTGTTGCACTATTTAGGCACCTGTACTCCATTCCAGCGGGTGCCGGCTGTTTCAGGCTCTTTCTAAACAGTTCAGCTGTCACTAATGCACCCTCCACCCCTCTGAAGCGTGAGGCTCTCGGCTCGCTAATCAGATCTGTAGCTTGCAGTTGGGGGGGGATATAGGACGTTGTTGTTCAAAGCATCAAAGTGTTGGCGGCACAGAGCATTGAGAACTGATCAGCCCTGAACCATGCGCGAAGTGCTCCAGGGTGTTCTCGGAAGGACTCACCTTGCACGGCGCATGAAATCGAAGGTTCAGATTCCCCTAAGACATTAGAGGCTTGATTTGCAGAGTTCAAGTTGCACCACATTGCTGATGTACATGTGGCAGGTGCCCCTGAGGTTGGTTCTGAGGGTCCTCCCCAAATCTAAATGGGAGTTGTTACACCCCTAAGTACAACTTGCACATGAACGTTAAGGCAGTTGAAATATTTATTGGTGTTTCAGCTATGAAATCGGACATATTGCTGCAACAGGAAAAATCACGGTCAAGGTCTCAGTCCCTTGAGACTGCCCCCGCTTCGCCAAGTTTCAGGTCTCCCTTGCTTCTGACTGACCACCTAAACATTGGGGTTGCCCTGTCCTTCTACTTAAGGTCAATAACGTGCCAGACTGGCTCATGGCACCCAGGGCAACACCTTTACCTACTCTGACCAGTTCGTTATGAAGGACCTGTGAACAGCCAGATGAAGAGGTGCATTGCTCCAGGCCTGGTGGGCGGGGGCGGGTTGCAAGTGCAAGTGCTTCTGTCCCTGGGGCGTGGGAATGCTGCCCTCCCAGAACGTCAAGGTTTTCCCCAACCTGCAAGCTCTCCAACTCCCACCATTTAGGGTTTTCTAGAGGTGTCACTATAGACATGGTTGATGACATCTTTGGCTAGTGGGGATTCACTCAGCTCCAGCCCTCTCCCTCCAGGTGAGAGGTTGGGTTGGAGACTGACAGCTCCAGCCCTCTTGTCCCGCCTTGGTCTTTCTGAACCCCAGACCCACCCTGCAACTGTCTCGGGGCTCCCAGGCCTGTCCCGACTACACAAAGGCACTCTGACACTCTAAAGATTCCAAGGGTCTTAGACGCTCTGTGCCCAGAACCAGCTGAAGACCAAATAGCTACGTCTCCTTGGATGGCACAATCACAAGCTGTCATCAGCTTACGGTCCGGGGCAGGTGTGCTGAGAGCGCTTTGCTATGGCCCTGTTGCTGGCAATCTGTTTTCAGTCCTTGCTGGGCCAACAGCCGCTCTCTGCTCATTCCCCAAGCTGATTGAATTTCCAGTCTTTTCCATTTGATTCCACTGTTCTGGCCCAGTTCTTCTGCAGCCTCTTTCAACATCGTTGCCTCACCTGGGCGCTGAGATCCTGTGACCCTCACCCAGCAGGAGATACGGATGCCAGGATCCGGCTACCCTACTTAAAGTTGGATTGTGAAGAAGCTGGCCCTCAGCCTTCCCTTCCTGGCTCTCTTTAATGCCAGAAAGGGGATGTTTTAGAGTTCATTATTTTAATTTCATTTTAGGTCGATACGAGCAACATACAAATTGGAGTTGGGCAGTTCACTTGCCAGGCACCTGACTCTTCTGGATAAGAGGAGTCTGGGTAAGTCTGGATAAGAAACAGGCCCCACACTGCCAGGACACAGAAGGGCAGCCCCTGTCCCCACAAGGTCGTGACAGAAAACCCCAGCTCCCGCAACTGCAGGAATTCTACAGATTTTCACTTAGAAGAAGAAAATGCCACCCAGGAGTACCCACCCCGATTTTCTCAAAAGTGGTTTTGCAGAGGCTCAGAAGAACAGTCAGGACACAGGGCGCCAGGCAGCCCCATCTTCCCAAAATCACTTGCCCCGGGGCCACCCACCTGCAATCCAACTATTAGACATGGCTTTTTATTCTCAGCTATTACCAGAGCAAATATTCCTGGAGAAGCACGCATTCGAGTAGGGTGCCTCTATACAGAGGTCCTGGAGAGGGAGGCTTCAGCAAGTCACTGGCCAGGGACCCTGGGAACTTCATGGTTCGGGGGCTGGAGGGTAGAGGGGGCAGAACCCTAAGGGTGGGTGAGTTGAAAATGGAAGAGCGTTCTTCACCTCAGCGTCTCCTGGGGTCTTTCCCTTCAGGAACTGAAGAGGTGAGGAGGGCTGTGCAGTCTCAGACAGGTGCTACCTGGCTTCGAAAGCCGACGCATCTGTCCCCAGAGCTGGGCAGCCACCAGCCCAACCCACCCTGTAATAACTGAAGTCCTTTGTCCCCACCTAGAGCCAGTCCGGGGGTCGGGTGCACACTGTACTTGACCCACCCATGCCATACAGGAAGTGCTGATGTCACTTTCCTACTTCAACTGCCCCCCCCCAAAGTATACCTTCGGGACATTGGAAAAAAGACACCCCTTAATGTAGCCCCAAGGCCTCTGCTCTCCATGAACCTCCTGAGGGCGACTGCAGCATGGCGAGCAGGGAGCCACGGGCTTCTTGATAAAAGTGTAAAATGAAACTCTGTCTGAAAGGACCCCCGTCTGTTAGATTTGGAAAACCTCTAAAGGCCGTTTGCTTTTCACAGTGAGTAGACTCTTAGGAATGTATTCTAAGGAAAGGCAGAAGATATGGAGAAACAAAAAGAATATTCTTTGGAGCAATAGCAAGGGAAGGAGGGATGGAGAGAGAAGAGAGGAAAAGGGGAACAGAGAAACAGGGAGATGGCACAGACAGAGGCAGAGAGAGCACCTAGCTCGTTTTCAACTTGACCTCCTGGAAGAATCTAGCAGGATCATAGAATCCCCAGCGTACATTTGTACTATACTGGGGCAGCGAAGGTTCAAGCCAAAGTTTGCCAAACTACAAGGTAACAAATACTAAGACTGGAGAAGCTGTGCACGTTCTTTTCCAGCTCCTTTTTGCAGCATCAGCAAAATGGGGCAGGTTGCTGCGTTCATTCTAAAAATCAAAACTGCAAGAGGACCCAGCTGCGGAGATGGGGGTGGGAGGGCAGATGTTCTCTTGCTCACTGCGCTCACACCCCGGAGACGGCCGGCGCCTAACGCTGCCTCCACAGGTTCCATGGAGGACACGGGAGAGTCTACGGCCATGTGAAAAGCAGATTCCTGTGGCTCCCTCCCGGGGGAGCTAAGAGCTGTATCCCACGAGTCCTGCTCGCTCCCGTTGATCCCAATGCC